GGGGGGGGGGGGGGGGGAGCGGGGGGCTGTCCTGGCTCTTGCCGTGCTGAGAAGGCGGGCTCCCCAGGTCTTCTCAAGGCAGTCCTTGGTGCCTGCCTCCTACACTGCGGGGACGGGAATTAAAGCATTTCCTGGGTAAAAAAAAAAAAAAATTAGTCAGCTTACCAGTCCCTCTACCCGCCAAGTGAAAGAGGAGGCAGGGCAGGGAGAGAGAGATCCCCCATGTGCACAGAACTTGGGTCACACTGAGACCCTGTGCTCTTGTTAAAAATATTTTTCTCATCAGTGTATGCAATCTGTCTAGATTTGATGTCTGCTCCTTTGGGAGAAAAGAAAAAACACATGGAGAGAGGGTAGAACCTTCCTCTGTGTGTTAAATGAAACAGGGCGAGAACCCTTATTTACAGCCAGAGGAAGTCGGGAAGTCGGGCTCAGGGGAACAATTGTGGAAACCATCACTCTCAAGAATGTTGCTTCTCCAGTCCTGTTTCTGAACAGTGAGACCTAAAGAGTTAGGTCTCTGCACCCTCTTAGAAAGTTGCAGCAGGTGAGGACAGTGGGATTCACAGGTGTTTTTCATGTTTTTGCACAAGCAAGGGGACTCCTGGGGGTTGGTCCTGCTCCTCCTCTGGGGTCCTCCTCCCCTGGCCTCCAGGTCCCTCCTGTCCCTCCTTGTCCTTCACTCCTATTGCCACATGTCCTGATGGCTGAGGAACCCCCCCGCCCCGACCCCCACCCTCCTAGGCTGAGGAGGAGGGAGAGAGTGTCTGAAAACACTCAAAAAGTTACTTTCGCTTCTCATTTCCCGGTTTGGGTGGAGCCTTCCCTGGGTGAAGTTCACTCACTTCCTGCTCAGGGATCAGCAGCCACAGCAGAACCAGGCTGGGGAGACTGGAAGGATTAGCGGTCCAGGCAGTGCCCAGGGCAGGACGATGGCCAGTGGGGGCAGCGACCTCAGCACCAGGTCAGTCTCTGTCTCCCTTCCTTTAACTTTCTGTCTGGCTGTGCTACTGCTTTAGTGTGTGTTATTAGACACTCGTCTAAACCTTGACATTCATCCATTTTACAAGGACGCTGACGTGCAATGTAATAAAATGTAATGAAGTGAAGGAATTGGATCTTTAAACTGCAGAGGGACAGCTGCTGGTGTAAGTGTAGCTGCCACAACCCACAGGCCTCTTGTCTTACAGCTCCTGCTCAGCTGTGGGCCATCTGGACTGGGCTGTCGTTTCTGATGCTTTGAGGCAGTGATTTGTTATTTTCTTATGACCTTTGAACCCTCTCATTTCCCTCAGGCCCGCTATGGCTGTCTTAAGATGACCGGCAGGAGGGCAGTTGGGGGTGACCAGGCCATCAGGGGAGGGCAGTTGGGGGCTATCAGGCTGGCAGGGGAACAGTTAGGGGGCGATCAGGCTGGCAGGAAGAAGCGGTTAGGGGTAATCAGGCAGGCAGGCAGGCAGGCAGGCAAGCAGTTAGGAGCCAGCAGTCCCAGATTGTGAGAGGGATGTCCAACTGCCAGTTTAAACCAGCAGTTGGACATCCCCCGTGGGGTCCCAGATTGGAGAGGATGCAGGCAGGGTTGAGGGACACCCCCCCCCCCCCCCCGCATTGTGCACTAATTTTATGTATTGGGGCTCTAGGATCATATAATGTTGTATCTTATTTTAGTATTTATATCAATACATTCATTTTCTTAACCTAATACATTATGTAAAACATATAAATATGTATATATTATATATATGTAAATTGTGGTAATGGTAGGCATTACTGTTTTTTTATATGAATGGCCTCATCATTTTAGTGGTTACTGTTGTGTTTGTCATTTTGGGAGATTTTATATCGGGTCAGCTTCCATCTATTTCATATAATGTTTCTAAAAATTACTGCTAGGTATTTCCAATTTTCTTTTGAATTAATTTATGGATATAACTAAATACTCTTTCTGCTTTTGTTTATTTATTTTAATTTTTAAAAAATAAATATTTATTGTTGAAAGTATTACATATGTTTCTTTTTCCCCCCATTGCCCTCTCCCGCCCCCCCCCCCCCCTTCACCACCCTGTTGTCTGTGACTATGGGTTATTCATATATGCATATGAGTTCACTGGTTGTTCTCCGCCCGCCCCCCTTCCCCCTCCAGCTTCCCCTGCCTTCCCTCTGAGATTTGATATTCTGTTTGATGTTTCTATGTCTCTGGGTCTATTTGTGTTCATCAGTTTATGTTGTTCATTAGATTCCACAATGAAATACCACTGACCAATAAGAGGAACAAACTTCCCGTCACCCAACAACATGAATGATGAGCAAAAGAACTCAGACATATAAGCATACATGATGTATTATTCCACTTATGAAATGTAGTCATTAGTGACAGGAAAGTATGATGATAAAAAGAAGAGCAATGTTTGCAACAGAGAGGTTGCTTGGCTCCAGGCGGTCAGGTTGCAAGTTGAGGGATGAAGGGGACATTTCCCCATTCTTCATTTTTCAAATGGCACATCAGTGTTCAGCACCATGTGTCCCTTTTACTCCACCACCTTCAAGATTCCACAGGGCAAACTGGTTGCCTTCATGACTGCAGGGAGCAACCTTTACTTTCAGTAACAATTATGCTCCTCTGACCATTTTTTGTTGAAATCTCTCATTTACTCATTGCCCCCTGCCATTCTATTTGTCATTGTGAAGCCAAATTTTTAATGATCATTTTAGTGGCATTTTAATAAGAGAGAAACACAAATGATTTCTCTCCTATCATTAAACAAGAAATTGTTGTTTTATAGAATTTGACAAAATTATGTGACATTATTATTCCCTGATGCATATTGGGTACTGGAAAGAGCCAATAATTTTCTTCTGGTTCCAAAAAGGAAGCTTATGAGTCTTCATGATTTAGGAATACAAAATGCCTATTAATGCCGAAACCGGTTTGGCTCAGTGGATAGAGCGTCGGCCTGCGGACTGAAAGGTCCCAGGTTCGATTCCGGTCAAGGGCATGTACCTGGGTTGCGGGCACATCCCCAGTAGGAGATGTGCAGGAGGCAGCTGGTCGATGTTTCTCTCTCATCGATGTTTCTAACTTTCTATCTCTCTCCCTTCCTCTCTGTAAAAAATCAATAAAATATATTTTAAAAAAAACAAAACAAAAATGCCTATTAAAACATTATTGTTAGCCCAGTTGACATGGCTCAGTGGTTGTGCATCCACCTATGAATCAGAAGGTCAAGGTTCAATTCCCATTCAGGGCACACGCCTGGGTTTCAGGCTCAATCCCCAGTAGGAGGGCATGCAGGAGGCAGCCAATTAATGATTCTCACTCATCATTGATGTTCCTGTTTCTCTCTCCCTCTCTCTTCCTCTTTGAAATCAATAAAATATATACTTAAAAAACAAAACATTATTACCAAGGAAATAAACTATTCAACTAAGAAGCAGAATTACAGACTCAGGTTTACAATTACTTTCACAGGAAACAGCAGCCACTTCTGAAATTAAGATGTCTAAAAAGATTCATTTTATACAATAATAGCACAGACAGATATATATTAACATAAAGCAGAAATTCCAGGAAAAATTATTGATATTCATGTGAAATTCCAGTTTATGCTTTATCATATAATTATTAAACCATTTCTTATCATTTATGAACTAGTTTTAAAATTCAGAATGCTATTCCTCTAAACTGATGTAGATCAGGGAGGGAGCACCATGTTTTTATCTTTTTGAAATTTATTTTCTCTTAGTTGTTAATTAAGACACATTTTTAAGCTTACATTTTATTGTTATACCATTGTTTCCTATTCTTCTGTGGATGACCTGTTTAGTCCATCTCACTTTTGTACAAATTAAAACATTTTGATAAAAATTTGCAATATGTTTGGTACAAAATCACTTTACAATGGCTTTGATCATGACAGGCTTGCATTTTCCATAATATTATGTCTTTCTAATCTGCCATGCTTCATTTTACTACAGTTTTGTCTATTGCTTCCATTCTATTTGTTCTAATCTTTACTCAGGACCACTTATTTTAATTATGTTGGTTCTTCACAGCCTATCTTTCCTTCATATATAAAATGTTACAGCATATCAAAACCTTGATGGCCATTTTATCATGTATCCCTTCTCCCTAGGATGTCTGCAGAAGATGAGAACATAGAAAACAAAAGTATCAATGACATTGCACTCAGATACTTCAAAAAATATAAAGTGGAGATTTCAGATGCAATAAAAACAACATTTCCTTTCCTTGAACTTCTCCGTGACCATGAATTCATCACCAATGAAATGTATGAAGTAAGTGAGGTTTATTATGTCACAATCTGATAAAACAACCCCAAACTAAGTTATACTTTGATATCCTGGAATTAAACGTCAGAGAATAACTGGGCAACTGAGGAGTTACCTATGAGTGGAGACCTTCCCAAGCACTGCTATTAAGTGTTCCTGTAAGGTGAAAAGAGAGAAGAGAAGCAGTCATTACTGGAGATAGTCCTGATTCTGACTGAAGGAACGGGCTCTGTGGTGCTCCCTTGGAGCTGGGAGAAAAGCACTGGAGATAGGCTGGATCTGAAGTGGGTGTACAATGCCTTCTAGAAATTATATATACAGTATAATATAAACTAGGAATTAAACATAATATTAATGAATGGGTGAATAAGTTGAATGACTTCATTTAATAAAATAATAATTGACATAACATTTTATTTCAGTGAACATCAATTTAAATACTTAATACAGAGAAAATTAAGATCCACAGAGAATCAATGTGGGACAAATTTGAAAGTAGATGCTATTCTTTCAACAACAGTTTTCAGTTTCCTTTCTGTTTTCTCCCCTTTTCTTTTGGTATTTCTGGAGTCTTAGAATTTAGGTTAATTTTAGCAAAAGACGTAGGTGGAGATATAGAGATGCAAGTATTCACTTTCCCTATGCATAGGCTTTCTCTATGGCAAAGTTCACAGGAGCTTCCAGGCCAAGTCAGTCCTGGGGAAGGGACAAGGGTTGTTCAATCAATAAAATAGCACCTCATTACCCACTAAGTCTATTCCTAAAACATTTAGCCAGGCTCTGAAAGGGCTACATATTACTTCACTTGAGACTATTTTTGTTCTTCCTAATGGTGCCTTATTCCATCTCATGTAAACAAGGGTGAGGAGCTCAGATTCACAAATGAGTGCTTTCTAGGAGGAAGGATTTAGTTGTTCCACTTAGTAGTCACACAAATATAGAGAAATTCTAAACCTGTATGTGAGAAGATACCTATGTTGGGAAATTATTATGCATTAACAATAAAATCACATTCTAGGGCTCTTCTGTAACTTGGAAATCTGTACTTATGTTTTCTCCATTCACTATTTTTAAGGAGTCTCAAGAATCTTTTAAAAAAAAGTGTCCTGTACATGTAGTCATATACGATGTTCTCTGTGAACTGGAGAAGAAATTTGACATGTCTCTTCTGGGAGCACTGTTCAGCAAGACCATCATGAAGAATTACCCCGATTTATTTCGAATTTATAAAATATTCTACAAAGGTAATTAGGTTTATTACCTACCTTTTTGTGTCCAGGGCCAATTTATTCGCACAGGTATGCATTGAGTGTCTACCATGTGTCACACAAGGTGCTTGGCAGTGTGGATGTAGCAGTTAAGAAAAGACATATAATGAGCCTCTCAAAGTTTATGATATAATGGCTAGAATACAAACACCCAGCAGCAAATCTGCTTAACTAGGCATTTAGAGTCACAGGACTACCAGAGCCATAGGGATATCAGATTTACTTAGAAGAACACATGACGAGAAACACAGCATCCCAAAGGGCAGCACCAGTTGCTTCTCTTCTATGGGACCATTTGCAAAGTTCCACACAGCAGTCCACAAAGTTGAATACAACCTGCCTCAAGTGATGGCTTAGATATGGGTGCTGGATCCACCCTGATTTAGCTACAGCATGCACAGGGGTGTCAATATCTCATGGAACAACTCTGTGGTCATAACTTTTAGAGATGGCTCAAGGAACAGCTGAGTTACAACAGTCACCACGTTGAAGGAAGACAAAAAATGGATTATAGTTAACTAGAGTCCCTCCTAGGTCACATGGAATTTACCTACCTGCAGTCACTGGTCATTTTTAACTCTAAGCTCAGTGTTGGCCTATTAACACAGAAGAAAGGCCACCTACATCAGGTTTCCAGAGTAGTGAGCAAGGTCAAATTTGCTCTTCAGGAAGTAGAAATGGTCTTATTAACTGATTCTCTACAAGAGGTGTGATCAACAATCAAATAATCAAAACACCAATTACTCTGCCAGAGATGGTTTTTGATACTATACAATATTACTGATTTGATTCTCTACTTTTTCCCTGAGAAGGCATGATTTCATATTTTTTATTGGTTCTCAGTTAAGATGTCCTCCAATAATTTTTGTTTGACTTGCCTAGAAAATTTATATATATATTTTATTGATTTTTTACAGAGAGGAAGGGAGAGAGATAGAGAGTAAGAAACATCGATGAGAGAGAAACATCGATCAGCTGCCTCCTGCACACCCGCTACTGGGGACATGCCCTTGACCCGAATCGAACCTGGGACTTTTCAGTCCACAGGCTGTCAGTCTGCAGGCCGACGCTCTATCCATTGAGCCAAACCGGTTTCGGCGTAGAAAATTTTTTTATTCTACATACTTTTGGTTTCAAAAAGATCTCCAAGTAACTCTGGAGAATCGAAAAGAAAAAAATGATATGAACTGAGGAATGTAGTGCCATATGAGCAAGCATAAAGTGTTAAAGAGTCCATGTGTCTGCAGAACAAGGACAAATTAGATTAATCTCAGAGTGAGAAGCAGATTGTGGGAGTTTATTCAAATGGGATAAGTATAAAAGAAGATTTTAGAAAGCCTGGCTTCAAAAATTAAGTAATTTGATGTTATTTACCACACAGTAAAGAGAGAGTACAGGTTTATACGGTTAATAATTACAGGATTATTGCCCCAGGAGGTACCCCTGCCATCAGCCCTTAGGCATATTGTATAACTGCTTCCCTCTATCTCTTCCCCGGGTGCCTCCAGAGACTTACACCAAGGATTACTGGTGTATTACCTTCCTCCATATGTTTGTTGAGCTACCTACATGCAGGGGCCCAAGGCTGGTGCTGTGTTCTCCTTTTTTTGGATAACCTTCCAAGATCCCTGCTCCAGGTATCTTGGGATGTCTGCTTGTGCCATAATATTCAAACCCTGCTTTCATCTTCAAAGAGTGCCTTTCCTTTGTCCTGGGATCTGGGTGCCCCTGGGAAATCTTTCTAATTGGCTCCCATGTCCTCTGATTTGTCTCTTTGGGAAGCACTTATCCTCCATGACTCAGTTAAACTAAAACCTTCTCTTGTCCAGCCACATTTTTAAAGATTTGGAATTTTATCCTCTTTTATACACATAAATCTCTTTGTTTTCCTCACAAGGAAAGCCCCCTATTTTTCTTTACTGTTAAAACAGTTAAGTAAACACATTTCAAAATAAGTAGTACATTATTTATTTTGATATATGCTTTCCTGGCCAGCTGAAATTTTTTACATGAGTAACAAGCTCATGATGCTGCCACAACTCTTTTATCTTGAAATTCAAGTGGCTCCTTTCAGTGTGGGAAGCATAAGGGCTACTTAATGTTTTCTCTTCATTCTGTCCCAGGAATGAAGAGGAAACATTACCAACAGGATTGGGACCCACTGAGTACTGAGTGACCCAAGGGTTGGAAATTCCTAACTGTGTAATTTCAGATGACTCTTGTTCCATAAAGCTCTCTAATTATCTTCTTTTCTTGCCCTCTCTTCAGCCATACCAGACATAGAATTCCTCCTAGAAAATGATGGAGAAGAATATGAGGAGAGGCCTAATGACCAACTAAGCCTGGAACAAGGTAGTTGCAAACAGATAGAAACTGATTCTCTTCTGCTAAGAGGAAATGAGAATGGGAAGTGGGCCTGAGTCTTGAGTGGAGTTTGGGAATCAGGGAAGACCTGTTCAAGAGCATAGAAAAGGCAGGGAGGGCTGTTTTTATGAGAGTCTGACCAGGGGCTGATCCTGAAGAAGGAGCTCTGACAAGAGATCCTAGGCCCAATAACCAAGACAGAGGAATGGGAACCCAGTGTGTCAGAAAATCAGATTAAAAGATGATGCTGATCTGGAGGTAACTGATTTAGAGAGACCCTGCAGGAGAAGATGAATGTGGAGCTGTGAAGGGCTAAGAACTATGGTCCCAAGGTCAACATCAGAGGAGATATTCTGGATGATGGAGAAGAAGGGACTGATTTAAATGTGGGAGATGCTGTTCAAGAGCAGAAATAGTCAAGGAGATGGGCAGTCATATAGGGAGGGAAGAGAGGAAGTGGTAAGATGTGCAGGAGGGGATGTGGGTATTTTGAGAGACAAAAGGAGGGGAAATGGAAGAGATGAAAAAGGGTTAAAGGACACAATAACAACAACCATATTATTAAGAGCTCACTTATAGACCATTTACTCTGGCAGTTGTGAGCTTAGAGCTCACAGCTGCCGTTGGGGAGAAGTATCAACCTCTGTTCATTTGTAGAAAAGGAGACTGAAATCTCAGAGGCCCTGTATGTAATGGGCTTGGGGTCGAAGAAGTAAGATGAATCCAGGCTTTCTGAACCTAGAACTTGTGTGCTTAACCCTATACACATTTAGATAACCTCATGGAAAAGATAGAATTATGAGTCAAAAGAAGGGAAACATGTGCAGAGAGAAAGATACAGAAAGAAGAATATCAGGAGCTAGAGGAAACATAGGAGAAGTAGATATTGAATCTCATAAAAAGGCCAACAAGACAGAGAAACAGACATGTATATGGAGGGTGTGGTGTGAAGGAGGCTTGGACAAGGAGACATGACTTTGTAGGAAGTCAGATAAGTCTACCAATCAGGAGTATACCTGGCAACAGAAACAGATTCCGTATGGCCATGGGTGACAACAAAAGCCATTTCTGGTTACTGAGTGGCTTGTGGATGATCTCAGTGAGATGGCCTGGCTGAGGACAGAGGGCAGCTGATGGCAAGAGTTGGGTGGGATCCTCCAGGTCCAGATGGGCTCTGTATTGATACCTGGGGGAAGGGATCTTGAACTCCAACTTTATAAAGACTAAATTGGATTAGGGGAGAATGGCATAGCCCATATTTTAATTAATGAAATAAACTTTTCATTTCTTCCCCCAGGAACTGGTGGTAGTTCATATCAAAGACTGACATGGTTAGGCCCAGATGCCTGGAATTACAATGGTCTGTTCCTGTTGACTGTTCTGTGACCCTTTGTTGTTCTTGTCTCGTCTGGCAGGTGCTACGGTGCGGGAGGGGGGAGCAAGGGGGATGCTTCTTTTCAGTACTAATTGCCCAGAATAGTCAGTGTTTGCATTGGCAATTTCTCCAAGGATTTAGATAACAGAGTTTTCATTTTTTCTGGTTGCCTGGGAGGGTCGCTCCTTTCATACTCCTGAAATGCACTGGCTGCCAGCTTCTGACAGCCTAGGCCTGGACGTAATGCCCATGCACCTGGCTTCATAGTTTTCTGTCTTTGTCTTGCTTGCATCTGGCTGCAGCCTTGCTTTGACATTATGTTCAGTGATGGCCAACACTGCCATGAGAGTGGTTGGGTAGTGGTGATGAGTGTGTTCCCCCTAGGCCAGGATCTCTCATCTGTTGGGTCCCTCACACAGGACCATGGATGCCATGTGCCTCCTGAGCAAACCCTCTCCCATCATCTCTGGGGCAGCAGGCCTGAAGCCGCTCTAAAAACACTATAGGAGTCATTACCATGTAGCTGGCACGGGGATGTGTTATTTAAGAAAAGATGTTCTAAATTAGTAATACATTTTTATAAAAGAAAAAAAAAACCTTCAGAATGTTTTGAAAGCACCACTATAATTTTAGCTATTAACATTTAGGAAAAAAAGTTAATATTTAAGAATATAAAATATCTAACATGCATCAATCCATATTCTTAGCAGTTCACTTACAAGGGTAGCTGGTGGGTATGGGGAGCTGTGAAAGGAAGGAATAATGATGAATAATGATCAGAGAAGGGATTCAGTGTGTGTGCGCACAGGTATTAGGTGTGGGGGGAGGAGAAAATGATATTATAACTCTAATGATGCACAACAAACCACCAATAAATGTGTTAAGTGTCTGTCTCAGCTGGGACAGTTGACTGTGACCAGCACAGGTAAGGGAAAAGCTACGCCTCAGGCCCCTTCCCCAAGAGGAGGCTCCATGGAACTGTAGATGTGGCACAAAACATGCACCAGGGCTCAGGTTCTATGTTAATTATGGGAATGACTATTGAAATCATTTTACATAAATTATTTTGCTTAGAAAAATAGCACTAAATGAAAAAAATCTAAGCTGCTCTGAAAAAATATTTATCTTTTCATGCTCTAGTGAGGTTGATGGAAACAGGGTAGGGTGGGTTGATGGAATAAAAAACGGGCAGGGGAGGTTCACCATGGAAAAGGAGGTATGCTGGTCCTGGGTGGTTTACTCGGGTATTCATTCCTTATGGGTTCCTGGTCTGCTCTGCCCTCTATCTCTGGCCACAGACTCTTCAGACTTGTTTGTCATCTCCCTTGCTACTGCTTCCTGCTGAGCTTCTAACCTAGGTGGTACCAGCAAGAGAGAGGAGGGGCGGGGGGAGCAAGAGAGAAGCATGGTATTTCCCCATCACAGTCTTGGGCAACAATTCTGGCATTGGCCACATCTCCCATGACTCTACCTCCCACCAACCAGTCCAGCCATGGTTCAGCTTCCACCTATCCAGTAACCTTAACACATGAGCTTACCTTAGATCCCTCCCATAGTTTCCTGTTGACTATTCTTTGGGTTGCCAAATTCCTGCATTTGGAATTGTCAGCTCTACCATCAGCTGTATAACTAATCCCCTGGATTAAATTCCCTCTGATCCAAAAGCTTAGAGAGCTTTGTATTTTCCTGTCTAGATACAGCCCCACCTGAATGTGGACCCTTAGAGCACCGCCATGACACACAAGAGATAAATGCAACTGAAACAGATACAACCAGTGACAATGAGGATGCACTAAAAAGCCAACAAGCAAATGAACAATGTGCCCAAGAGTCTAAGACAGCAGGTAAGACTGAGTGGCTGGGTTTGATGAGTGTGGAGAGGAACTGGCAGGTGGAGGGATTTGGTATTGTGGGTTAAGGCACAGGGAAGACTATGGTGATGATTGAATGCTAGAAAGACAAATGTAAAGAAAGACAAACTAGATGTAGAAAAGGCATTCACAGTTCACAGGAATAATTAAGAAACAGAAATAGAGAAGAAGAAAATAGAAAACTTAACAGAGAATGGATAAACTGAAAAAATCCAGGAGGGCCACATGCAAGGAGGATCTCACTCTCAGGACCTTCTTGTGTCCTGGGCACCGACAGTACTTCATCCTAGACCTATTAAGGTCTAGGAAAAGAATTAGGAAGAGAGAAAAATGCAGAGGGCAATAATAGCAGTAAATAGAAAAAATAGGGGGAGATACAAAGAGAACTATGTCGAGGAGGAGTAAAGGACAATGAATGAAGTCCTGGCAGAGAGTGAACCAGGTAGAGAGAGAGGGCCAAGCATTGTCTGATTTGAGAATTACCACAAAGAAGGCACAAAGAGATGTTCCTAACATCATTAAGAAGGAAATGTGTCCACAAAATAAAAATGGCCCTGGAACCCACTCAGATAAAAATAGGCCTCTCCCCTGGACAGTAAAACATGTACAATTAAGAGAGGCACAAATTGCCCGGCATTGTGACTCAGTGTCCACCCAGGAACCAAGAGGTCTCCGGTTCCATTCCAAGTCAGGACACATGCCCAGGTTGATGGTTGGATCCCCAATAGGGGTGTGTTCAGGAGGCAGCTAGTTAATTATGTTTCTCTTGCATTGATGCTTCTACTTCTCTATCCCTTTCCCTCCCCCCTCTCTAAAAATCAATAAAAACATTAAAAAAAAGAGAGACACAAAGAAAGGACAGAGTTGAGGAGCAGGAAAGGACAGCAGTGGGGGAGCTTTCCTCTGCAGTGGAATTAGAGGGAGAAGGGCTTTTTGATTGTCGTGAGGGTGCTCACTCCCTTAGGGAAGGCAAATGAAATTCTTCATTTATTACAATTCTGTCCAGGAGCAGAGCTACTCCACCATGGAAACCAAACCAACTCCTGCTCTGTAAACCCAATGGGTATGAAGAAGGAAAAGTCATTTTTATATTCAGGAGTTGAATGTGAAGCCCAAGCAAGGACTGGCTGTAACCAGGCGTCTGACGTAATAGGTAAGGCTGACTGAAAGAATGTGTGATGTAAAACCCAGTACCAGGCAAGGGTCTGGGACATGTCATCAGGGCCCATGGAAACAGTCCTGGTGACCTTGGTTAGAGGTAGAAAGGGGAAGGAACAAGTGCCTTATACTTTGAGATCAACAGAAAAATGTCCCTAGTAATTGGAAAAAATATCCAAAACAGAAATGGGAACTTTAAATATTGATATAAGAGAATATATTTCTATATTCAAAGAGAGGAAGGTATTGCAGTAAGGTTTAAAGAAAAGGGAATATTTCAGAGAGACAAACTATTCATGAAAGGATATGAAAAAAACCCCCACCCAAACGAAGACAAGGAAAGGCATAAAGAGATACCTTTGCCAGAAACAGGCATATTTAGCAAAAATGAATTGAACCAAGAGACTTTGCTTGGGGAGATGTGCAATTGATGCAGTGTGCAAACCAATAAATTAAATTTAAAATGATAATAAATAAAAATATTAAAAATATATAATTTAATGCCATTTCTAAAGTTTGGCTTTATGTATGTATACTTCTCTCTGAAATATCTTTCTAGCTTAGTAAATATTTAGATATGTTTGAAATGATGCAAAGAAAGAAAGAAAGAGGTAGACTGAGGGTGAAGATAATAGAAAGAGAATGGAGATAAGAGGTAAAGTGAAGATCTGAGTTGAGGTAGAATGTGGATGGGAATAGCAGGTTGAGCAAGTGGTGGGGGGGCGCATGTAGAAAAGTGCTGCAGGATGGGCAAAGCAGCCCTCTGTGCATGAACTTCAACACTTTCTGAATAGGACCTGGAGCAACCTGCAGGTCACGCACATCAGGCACAGACCAGAGGGACCTGAGTTAACTTGGCTTCTAGGTCTTCCTAGTAATCTCATGAATGGTTTCCAAAAGGGGGCTATGTGGAAGAAAAAAACAACACTAGGTGTTTTTTTTCTCTTCTAATATTTGCAGTGATCAACAGTCAGGACTTTGAAGAATTTACTGATGAAGATGAGCCTCCCATTGGTTCCACCTCAGCATTGAAAAGGAAGCCAGGTGAGGAGGTGGGAGCTCAAGGCTTGGGGTGCAGGAAACTCAATTAAGAGGCACTGTTTCCGGATGCATCAATTCTGAGTTCATCCTATACCACAGACCCTGTTTATCCTGGAATCCCATTCTCTATGTTTATTTTACCTGACCTTTGGGACAAGCAAGGTAATAAATCATTATATTTATATTTATAAAATATGTGGCCTATTAATCCATAGGTCTTTTAAATCAACCAATGCACCCATCTATTGATTATATACTAGTAATAAGCTAGAGAAGTAGTGAATTTACTTTAAAACTAATACTGTGACTATAAAGTGTTGAGTTTATAGAGTGATTTCTACAGAGAAGAGAAAGCTAAATATTTCTTTATTGGAAGGTCATATTGTCATCTAATCACAAAGTTTGAATAGTGTCAAGGGTCACTTCCACTAGCTCTCCTGTGTTAGCAGAAATGGATAAGGTGTTTTTAAACCCAAAATGTTGTTTTTTAGAGAGTTCTCCAGCAAGTCAGGACATATAGAATTACTTTTCTTTTTTTCTTTTTTTAAAATATATTTTATTGATTTTTCACAGAGAGGAAGGGAGAGATAGAGAGTTAGAAACATCGATCAGCTGCCTCCTGCACATCCCCTACTGGGGATGTGTCCGCAACCCAGGTACATGCCCTTGACTGGAACCGAACCTGGGACCTTTCAGTCCGCAGGCCGATGCTCTATCCACTGAGCCAAACCGGTTCCGGCTAGAATGACTTTTCAAAGTATCTTTGCAAATAGTGGGTTACCTTTTCCTTTACAACAGCCTTGAGGCGTGAGCAAGATGGCCATTATTACTCTTATTTCTAGATGAGAAAACAAAATCATTTAAATGTTTCAAATCTTACACGGAGTCTCATGGAGAAAGAGAAAGACAAGACTAGCTTCCCGGATTTTGTGTTATTTCCTTTGTAAATCTGGAACTCAAACAGTAATCAAAATGTTGTTTCCTCAATCCTGTGTATAGCATGAGTGGTCAGCAGATCTGCAGCACTTTAGTGTACAAAGTGGTGATTGCTTTTCCCTTCCTACTTTCCCAGAGGTATTAGAAACATGTCCTTCGAGCTAAACTCACTAGGAAAAGAGCAAAACACAAATAAAGATGTTACCTAGTTTTGATGTTACAACAAGACAATATTGTAAATACTACTTTTATTCTAATAGTTCTTAATATCTATGAATGTAGAACATAAGTTTCCTTCAGTTTATAGAGAGTGCACATTGTGTCTTGAGGCTTATTGTAGGCAAAGTGCTCTGAAAAGTGGTCCCAAAATAGGGCTATGGCTCAGGCACCAGAGATTATTTCAAAAGGCACCAGTGGGTAGAAGAGGCTCCCTACCAACAAGTTTCTCAACATGATATTTCCAAGGTCTTCCCACAAAGAAACAGCAGATGAAGGAAGTGTGAAATGGCTATAGAAGGGTAAGAGGTAGAACAGAGAGAAGTGTAGGAAGGAAAAGTTCAAACAGAGCACAGAGGTTCTTTGTGATTGTCTTGTCTCTTCTATGGGGACATGAAATAAAGCATCACTAACCTACAAGGCAGGTGATATAAAGGGACAGACCAGGTGACCTGTGTGCAGGCCATGGTATATATGGGTTTTAAAAAAAATTTTAAGCTGTATTAAGAAATTCTATGCTGCATTGGTTCCCTGGTCACACAGTGAGACACCTAAGAATCCTACTCTTTAGGACTTGATCCCTTAGACTCTAAGGCTTAGAATCAAACAGAGAGGAGAGAACCAAGAATACACCTGTTCATATCTATAAACTGTAGTAGATAAGATTGTATTTCTGGACAGATATCCAGAGTCTAAATCCGGAGCTCTGTTTTCATGATGAATCTTTTTCAGAGGTTCTCTATAAGCATTGATTAATTACTTCTGGGATACCATTTTAAACATTTAGCTATTTCAATTGTATTGAAATATAGGAGGAGGCAAGAGGCATTAGAAGTGGTTGTTTGACTGGATGAGCACAATCAATTGATATATTGAAAAAGAAGCAATAATGCCCTAGTAAATAACAGTCGTTTTTACTAAACACTATCATTTATTAATACCAAAGAGTTTTTATTCTATAAAGCAGAGTGAGCACAATATTTCACTGTTGACAATAGTGTCATTAATACAAAACTTAGAATATCTTCAAAGTATAATTTGTGCTACCATTAATTACTTCTGGAAAAAATGGTTTAGACCAACTACTTTCAAACTTAAATGATACTTAAATGGTTGACTTAGATTTTGATTTGTCACAGGGCTTTTGTGAAAAAGTTCATTATTCACATAAACCTTAATAGAGAGATAGGGTACAAAGGTTATCCCAGCATTCATAGTGGAAGAAACTGGAGATGATAATGTTTGAGGGTCATTTACAAATTCACATGGAATGTAAATGGGAGCACCAGGCAGGAGCCCAGGATTATGGTGCTCAGGGGAGCATCAGAACTGGGTTCAAGTGAGAGGAAGAGGAATATAATCATCTCAACATTGACATTATCACAAACCCTATCTGCTGTGTGAGTTGTCATAGACTCTGTAAGACCACTGCAAATGACTACTGTTCTCTTTCTTTTACTTTATAGAGTCTGTGGATTTCAGAAAATCACCTACATCTGGACAAATACTTTGCAAAACAGGTAAGAGCAAGCAAATAAAAACTTTTAATGGGTATAAATGAACACTATTTTCTACAAAAGATTCATTCTGATTTTTGTTTCTTTGTTTATAGTAAAATAAAAATTTGTGTTAATATAAGATAGTTCATATTTTAACTTTTGGTTAGGTTAATGGCTGTGAAAAATAAATCTAAAGAGGCCAATCACTCAAACACTATACAATTTCAATATTTTTATCAAGTAAACTTTCCAAACAATTTCAGAAAGGGGGGGCGGGTGGGTGAGAAAGGAACTTTATTTCACAGTCATCCTGGGAAGCATACAAATGAGAGATCTGCTGTCTTCAATACCAGATTTCTAAGACCACCTTGGGAAAGAAGCAGAGCTAAAATATAATATAATACAGACATGAAAACAAATCCATAAGCTACATGTCAAAGAAGAAATTGAATGTAGTACATAATACAGGGGCCAAAAGAAAACAGAAACTTTGGCCAGAGTGGCTCAGTTGGCTGAGCATCCTCCCATGCATTCAGAGGTCGCTGGTTTGATTCCCCATCAGGGCACATGCCAGGGTTGTGGGCTCCAAGCCCAATAGGGGTGTGGCAGGAGGCAGCTGATCCATGATGTTCCTCTCTCATTAATGTTTATATATTCCTATTCTCTCTCTCTCTCTCTCTCTCTCTCTCTCTCTCTCTCTCTCTCTCTAAAAATATGCTGTTGTTGTTTTTAAGAGAGGAACAGAGAACGGACAGGGTGAGCAGCAGATGGGGGAGCTTTCCCCTTCAGTGGAATTACAGGGAGAAGGGCTTGTTGATTGTTTGAGGGTGCTTAATCCCTTAGGGAGGCAAATGAAATTCTTCATTTATTACAATTCTGTCCAGGAGCAGAGCTACTCCACCAGGGAAACCAAAACACCTCCTGCTCTGTAAACCCAATGGGTATAAAGAAGGAAAAGTCATTTTTATATTCAGGAGTTGAATGTGAAGCCCAAGCAAGGACTGACTGTAACCAGGCATCTGACGTAATAGGTAAGGCTGGCTGAACGAATGTGTGATGTGAATCTCTGTACCAGACAAGGGTCTGGGACATGTCATCAGGGCCCTTGGATATAGTAATGGTGGCCTGGGTTAGAGGTAGAAAGTGGAGGGAACAAGGGCCTTATGCAGCGAGGTCAACAGAAACACGTCCCCAGTAATTGGAAAAATATAAAAAACAGACATGGTAAATTTAAGTGTTCATATCAGAGTGTATGATTCTATATGCAAAGAGAGGAAGGTATGGGAGTAGAGAAAATTTTCAGAAAATCAAGATGTTCATGAAAGGAGATGAGAAAAACACACACACAAAGAGAAGGAGAGGAAAAAAGAGATACTTTTGCCAGAAATCAGCATAATTGCCAAAAATGAGCTGAACCAAGAGACTTCATTTGGGGTGATGGGTGATTGATGTCGTGTGGAAATGATGTCTTTTTCAGTCGTACAATTGAATCCTATAAAGTTTGGTGAACTAATATTATCCCAATAAATTGAGTTAAATATAAAAATAATAAATACATTAAAATTAACAGTATATAATTTGATGCCATTTTTAAAAGATAGGCTTTATGTAGGTATACTTCTCTTTGATCCCTCTATCTAGCTTAATAAATATTTAGCTATGTTTGGAATGAATCAAAGAAAGAGATAGAATGAGGGTGGAGATATCAGAGAGTGGAGGTAAGAGATAGAGTGAAGATGGGAGTTGAAATAGAATGGGCGTGGGGATAGCAGGTATAGTGCGGGTGGGCATAGAAGTGTGCTTCAGGTTGGGCAAAGCTGTGCTCTGTGCATGAACTTCACAACCTTCCGGGTAGGGCCTGGAACAACCTGAAGCTCACACACATCGGCCACACACCAGAGGGACCTGAGTTAACTTAGCTTCTATGTCTTCCTACTGCTCCCATGAAAGGGTTTCCACAGAGTGGTCTCCCTGGCCCCACCCCAAGACACTGCGTGCTTTTTTTCCCTTTGTGCAGTGATCGACAGTCAGGACTTTGCAGAATTTACTGATGAAGATGGATCTTCTGAAGCTTCCACCACAGCATTGAAAAGGGAGCCAGGTAAGGAGATGGGAACTCAAGGCTTGGGGTGCAGGAACCTCAACTAAGAGGCACTGTTTCCTGAGGCATCAATTCTGAGTTCATCGTATACCACGGACCCAGTTTATCCTGGAATCCCATTCTCTGTGTTTATTTTACCTGACCTTTTGGGATGTGCAAGGTAATAAATCATTATATTTATATTTATAAAATATGTGGCCTATTAATCCATAGGTCCTATAAATCAACCAATACACCCATCTATTGATTATATACTAGTAATCGGCTAGTGAAGTAGTGAGCTTATTTTAAAACTAATACTGTGACTATAAAGTGTTGGGTTTCTACAGTGATTTCTACAGAGAAGAGAAGCTAAATATTTCTTTATTGAAAGGTCATATTGTCATCTAATCACAAAGTTTGAATAGTGTTGAGGGTCAATTCCTCCAGCTCTCCTGTGTTAGCAGAAATGGATAAGGTGTTTTGAAACCCAAAATGTTGTTTTTAAGAGAATTTTCCAGCAAGTCATGACATATAGAATGCCTTTGTAAATCTGGAACTCAAAACAGTTATCAAAATTTTGTTTCCTCAATTCTGTGTATAGCATGAGTGGTCATCAGATCTGCAGCACTTTAGTGTACAAAGTGGTGATTGCTTTCCCCTTCCTACTTTCCCAGAAGGATTAGAAACATGTCTTTTGAGCTAAACCCACTAGGAAAAGAGCAAAACACAAATAAAGATGTTACCTAGTCTTGATGTTACAACAAGACAACATTTTAAATAATATTTTTATTCCAATAGTTCTCAATATCTATCAGTGTAAAACTTAACTTTCTTCAGATTATAGAGAGTGCATATTGTGACTTGTGGTTTATTGTAGGCAAAGTGCTCTGAAAAGTGGTCCCAAAATAGGGCCATGGCTCAGACACCAGAGATTATTTCAAGGGGCACCATGGGGTAGAAGAGGCTCTCTACCAACAAGTTTCTCAACATGAGATTTCCAAGGTCTCCACACAAAGAAACAGCAGATGAAGGAAGTGTGAAATGGCTATAGAAGGGTAAGAGGTAGAACAGAGGGAAGTGTAGAAAGGAAAAGTTCAAACGGAGCACAGGGGCTCTTTGTGATTGTCCTGTCTCTGCTATGGGGACATGAAATAGAGCATCACTAACCTACAAGGCCAGTGACTTAAAGGACAAACCAGGTGTCCTGTTTTCAGGCCATGGTATACATGAATTTTCAAGATATTTCAAGTTGTATTAGGGAATTCCATTCTACATCAATTCTTTAGGCACACACTGAGATAGCTAAGATTCCTATTCCTTGTGCAATGATCAATAAACTAGATTCCTTAGAATCAAATAAAGGAAGAGAGTCCCAAGAAACCACCTTTCATGACTCTAAACTGTATCAGATAAGATTGGATTTCTGGACAAATATCTGGAGTCTAATTTCGGAGCTCTGTTTTCATGATGAATGTCTTTCTGAAGTTCTTTATATTCATTGATTCATTACTTCTGGGATGCCATTTTAAGCGTTTAGCTTTATTAATCCTATTGCTAAATAGGAGGATGCAAGGATCATTCTAAATGTTCATTTGATTGGATGAGCATAATCAATTGATATATTGAAAATGTAGCAATAATATACTAGTAAATAATAGTCTTTTTTACTATGCACTATCATATGTTAATGCTAAAGAGTTTATATTCTATAAAGCGGAGTGAGTACAATATTTCACTAACTGTTGACAATAATGTCATTAATAGAAACTTTCTAATGTCTTCGAAGTATATTTTGTGCTAATATTAATTATTAATGGGAAAAATGGTTTAGAACAACTACTTTCAAACTCAAATGATACTTAAATGATTGACTTACATTTTGATTTTTCACATGCTTTTGTGAGTTAAATTTCACTTCTTTCACAAAACCTTAACAGGGAAATAAGGTAAGTTGGTTAACCCATCATTGTAATGTAGGAGATGATGTTTGAGAGTCATTTACAAATTCACATGGAAAGTAAATGGGAGCACCAGACAGGAGCCCAGCATTATGGTGCTCAGGGGAGCATCAGAACTGGGTTCAAGTGAGAGGAAGAGGAATATGATCATCTCAACATTGACATTATCACAAACCCTATCTGCTGTGTGAGTTGTCATAGACTCTGTAAGACCACTGCAAACAAAAACAGTTCTCTCCCTTTTACTTTATAGAGTCCATGGATTTCAGAAAATCACCTACCTCTGGAAAAATACTTTGCAAAACAAGTAAGAGCAAGTAAATAAGAACTTTTAATGGTTATAAATCAACAAGTGGTTTTGTTTTTTTATACAAAAGATTCATTTTAATTTTTTGCTACTTCCTTTATAGGAAAAACAAATTTGTTTCAGTTTAAGATATTTTATATTTTAACTTTTGTGTTACTTAGGCTAATGGCTATTACAAATAACCCTAAAAGGTCAATAAAGCACTCAAACACAAAACAATTTCATAATTTTTTCTCAAGCAAACATTCCAAAAGTTTTTAAATGGGAGAGGGACTCTATTTAACAAAGGCATTCTGCGAAGCATACAAATGAGAGATCTGCCTTCTTCAATACCAGATTTCTAAGACCACCTTGGGAAAGAAGCAGAACTATAATATAATATAATTACAGGCATGAACAGAAATCCATAAGCTACATGTAAAAGAAGAAGGAGAATGTAGTGCAAAATACAGAGTGCCAAAAAACACACAGAGAGAAACCATGGGTGTTGTGGCTCAGTTGGCTTAGCAGCCTGCCATGCATGCAGAAATCTTTGGTTTGATTTCCCATCGGGGCACTTGCCAAGGGTTGCAGATTTTGTCCCCATTAAGATTGTGTTTAGGAGGCAGCTGATCCATGATGTTCTTCTCTCATAGATGTTTCTCTCCCTCTCCCATGCACACTCTCTCTATAGTCAATAAGAAAATATATTTTTTAAAAGAAAGAAATCAGAGAAGCCCAGTGAGAATGAAATATCTTAGTTCAGACTCAGGGGACAGTGAGGGATAAAATATTAACCTACAGCTCATGAGAGTGCAAAAGGCAGATCATGTAGGTCTGAGAAATGGACATTCTAAACCTGGGTTTTCAGAGCTTCCCACACTTTTTACTCTTTCAGTTACTATGTCATACACTGAGATCTTTAAGAAATATTTGTTCCTTCCACAGGGAGAAGTATTGAAGATTCTTCAGGATTCTGTGCAGAGAAGAAGCCACGAGTAACCTGTAGCTCTGCACTGGGAAACCCTGAAGTGTCTTCAGGATTCAGTGCACAGAATAAGCCACCAGGAACTCATAGCTCTGCAGTGAGAAACCCTAAAGTGTCTTCAGGATTCAGTGCACAAAATAAGCCCCCAGGACCCTGTAGCTCTGCAGTGAGAAACCCTGAAGTGTCTTCAGGATTCAGTGCACAGAATAAGCCCCCAGGAGACTGTAGCTCTGCAGTGAGAAACCCTGAAGTATCTTCAGGATTCAGTGCAAAGAATAAGCCCCCAGGAGCCTGTAGCTCTACAGTGAGAAACCCTAAAGTGTCTTCAGGATTCAGTGCAAAGAATAAGCCCCCAGGAGCCTGTAGCTCTACAGTGAGAAAACCTAAAGTGTCTGCAGGATTCAGTGCAAAGAATAAGCCCCCAGGACCCTGTAGCTCTACAGTGAGAAAACCTAAAGTGTCTTCAGGATTCAGTGCAAAGAATAAGCCCCCAGGACCCTGTACCTCTGCAATGAGAATTTCTGAAGTGTCTTCAGGATTCAGTGCAAAGAATAAGCCCCCAGGACCCTGTACCTCTGCAATGAGAATTTCTGAAGTGTCTTCAGGATTCAGTGCACAGAATAAGCCACCAGGAGCCTGTAGCTCTGCAGTTAGAAGTCTTGAAGGTTCTTCAGGATTTGCCACACAGAATAAGCCCCCGGGAGCCTGTAGCTCTGCACTGAGAATTGGTCCTGATGAGAAGGGTAAGGACTGCCGTTGCTGGGCTTTAGGACATCAGGAGTCTGAGCTCAGAGCTCCTGTTTCTCTGAACACACACCAAGGCCTGGGAGCCTATTACTGCCTTGATCTCATGCCATTTTTAAAAAAATTTATTTTATTGTTCAAAGTATTACATATATTCCTCTTTTTTTCCCTCCTTACCCCCTCAATTTTTAAACCCCCTATAGAAAACTGTAGAGAACAAAATAAACTAACAAACAAAATAGGAATTGACCCATAGATTCAGAGAACAGACAGTTGTCAGATGGGAGTTGGGGTTGAGGGACTGGGTGATAAGGGTAAGAAAATTAAGCAAAGGGGAAAAAACCCCTCATACATTGACACAGACAGCAGTATTGTGGTTAACAGCAGGAAGATGGAGTAGGGGAGGGACAGGAGGGTAAAGGGGAGGGAATGGTGATGGAAGGAGACTTGACTTGGGGTGGTGGACATAACAATTCAATATACAGATGATGCACTGTAGCACTGTATACTTGAGACCTGTATAATTTTATTAACCAATGTCACCTCAATAAATTAAATAAAATTAAATAAGTAAAATTACAAAGAAAGAAATCACTCTAAATTGAAGCTTAAGATAGCTCTAGTTGAATGGCAGTGTGTCTTACTCCTGTGTTTAGACATAAAATTTCCCAATGTGATGGATTACATAGTGATATCCACCTACTCACACCTATTCTGTATAAAGTGAGAGAGTCAGCTATTGGTTAAATTTTTCACAAACCTGTTAAAAATTAAATAGACTCTAATTATTTATAGAAGAAAAAGCTTCTGGCTATTACTATCAAATCCATTTATAGCTTCTGACAATGATCCCCAACATAACATCGGTCTTAATAGTGATACTAGAGTCCTAGTGCATAAAATTTGTGCACTGGGTGGGGGTAGGGGGTCTCTCAGCTCAGCCTGAATCTTCTCACAGTCCGAGATCTCTCTCATAGTCTGGGACCCCCTCACTCTTTACCACCCACCTGCTCGCTGCTACTTACAGCTCAGCTCGCTGCTCCTTAGCGCTGCTGGAAGCAGGACAGGCTCCCACCACCACCACTGCACTCGCCAGCCATGAACCCCAACATTCCACCGATTCTTTCAACGTTTGGTCAATTTGCATATTAGGGTTTTATTATATAGGATTTAAATGTCTTTGCAAACAAGATATCTATTTATGCTTACAACAACCAAAATGTTAGGCCAGATAACTGTATAAGATTCACAACTCTTTTGGTTAAGGCTTTGTTTTCCTTTACTTCCAAATCCTGTGAACATTGAAAACAAGTCTGTTTAGGGAAGGCAACCTGAAAAGACCTAAGAGCAAATGTAATAAATAGCTTTCTTTGCTACACAAGTTTTGTTCAAATATTTTTGTTTTTACTCTAAAATAAAAAATAATATGTTGGGATTGTAGATGATACTCATTAAACATTCTGCATTTGGTGGGTTGGGCTAAATGGTATAAAAGGTAAATGGCACAAGTGCAATGCAAGTGTATTTTTATGCAAATAAAAGGATAAAGTAATTCCACTATTCTTTGAGGGCCTAGATGAGGAGACTCTGACATCTCATAAAAACTTAAGACCTAGCCCTGACCAGTTTGGCTCAGTGGAGAGAGCGTCAGCCTGCGGACTGAAGGGTCCCGGGTTCAATCCCAGTCAAGGGCATGTACCTTGGTTGCAGGCACATCCCCAGTGGGGGTTGTGCAGGAGGCAGCTGATCGGTCTTTCTCTCTCATCGATGCTTCTAACTCTCTATCCTCTCCCTTCCTCTGTGTAAAAAAAATTCAATAAAATATATTTTAAAAAAAATAACTTAAGACCTGGACAGGATAGGATAACTGTTCCTATCCCTACATAAAATGAAGTACTAAGGTATTCAAGGTGTTTTTCAAAGTCCTATTGAGAAATAAAGGAAGACTCATGGCCAATCCTGGACTCCTCAATTTAATCGGTTTTTAGTTTCTTCAGAAGAAAGAGAGAATCAATAAATGAAACACCCTTATAAACTTAAGGCTTCTGCACTATAAATCATGCTAGGATCTGCAACCTCTATTTATTTATTTCTATTTTCTCACTACCACCTATTTTTTTTTTTTTAGGTACTGTGCATCTTGGGAAAAAATCTACTTTAGAAAAAGCTAAGAGGGAAAAAAGTAAGAGTGAATAGATTTTGCTTGCTTTTGATGTAGAAATTAGTTTTTAAATACCAGACTTTCATCACTATTATTATTTATAATATTGTGGTAGGTAGAATGATGGCTTCTCCAAGATGTCCATGCCCTAATCCCTGGAACCTACAATCTGTTATCTTACATGGCAAATGGACTTTGCAGATTTAACTCTACTAGGGACCTTAAAATGAGGGAGATTATCTTGGATACTCTGGGCGGCCCCAATATACTCCCCTAATCCTTAAAATGTGGAGAACCTTTCTTGGCTATGGAGAGAGAGATAAGTGACTATGGAAGAATGGTCAGAGAGATGCAATATTGCTGGCTCTGAAGATAGAAGAAGGGAATAGGATATGTGGGTGACCTTAAGAAACAGAAAAATCAAGGAAACAGATTGTCCCCTACAATCTCTAGAAAGGAATGAAAGTCTGTTACAAACTTGATTTTAGCCCAGTGAGGCCATTCATAATTCTGACATTAATTGTGAGATGATGAATTGTGTTGCTTTAAGCCCACTATTTATAGTAAATTATTATGGCAGCAATATGAAAATAATACAGACTTTGGTCCTTAAAAGTGGGTTATGGCTCTAAAACATTCCTAAAAATGTGGCAATGGCTTTGGGCAGTGGGTAGAGGCTGGAAGAATTTTAAGTAGAATGATTGAAAAAAGAAGCCTAGATTGCCTTGAGCAGTTTGTAGAAATGTGGATGCTGAAGACCTAGGGAGGACTCAGAAGGAGGAAAGACATGGAAGAGAACATCTATGTTGTCTCAGAGAATTCATAAATCATCCTGAACAGCACAGTATGTACGAAGATGGAGGTTAAAGGTGTGACTGGTGAGGGCGCAGAAGGAAATAAAGGATATGTTTTTGGAAACGTGAGGAAGAGGATTCTTATTATATAGTGACAGAAAGTGGAGCAAAATCCTGTCCTGCAGATATATGGAAAGCAGAACTTTCTGGATATACACTAAGGAGGTACCTAGGTGATGAAGGTGCAGCTGGTTTCTGTTTTGCTGTTTAAAGTAAAATTTGAGAAGAACAAAATAAACTCAGGGGAGGAGAACTGCTCAACAAAAAGAAATCAGGACTTGATGATTTGGATTGTCTTAGCTTACTCCAGCTACAAAAGATGCTAAAATTGAGATTCTCTGTCAGGTTAAGTGTGCTCTGTAGAATAACCAAGAGTGTGGCTGAACAACTTTTTGCTAGAGCCTCGGAAGCAGCGAAAGATCAAAATATTTAGTCACAGAAATGTTCTTTGATGAGACTAAGCATGAAACTCATAGATCTCCTCAGCCATCTCAGCTGAACTAAAATATAGATATGTGCCGAAACCGGTTTGGCTCAGTGGATGGAGCGTCGGCCTGCGGACTGAAGGGTCCCAGGTTCGATCCCGGTCAAGGGCATGTACGTTGGTTGCAGGCACACCCCCAGTGGGAGGTGTGCAGGGGGCAGCTGGTCGATGTTTCTCTCTCATCGATGTTTCCAACTCTCTATCCCTCTCCCTTCCTCTCTGTAAAAAATTCAATAAAATATATTTAAAAAAAATAAAATAAAATATAGATATGTGATTATATAGGCAACATCTGTGGAGGAGCCTCTTGTCTAATGCAGCAATCCCCATGACATACATGGGAGACCTATAAGGTTCTTGAGAATTTTATACCAAGAGAAACAGAGATGTCCATGTCTAGTCCCTGGAGCCTCTAATCTATCTCTTTAGATGGTGAAAGAGAGTTTGAAAATGGGGTTAAGGTAATGAAATGGGGCGATTATCCTGGATAATCTGGGTGGCCCCAGTCAAATCATGTAGATGCTTAAAATCAGAAAAACTCTCCTGCTGTGCAGAGAGGGCTTTGTGTCTATGGAATAATGATCAGAGAGATGTAATGTCGCTGTGTTTGAAGATGAAAGCAGGAGGCAATGAGTCCAGAAATGTGGGCAGCACTTAGAGCTGGAAAAGGTAAAACAAAAAACAAAAAAAAAGATTTTTTTCTTACTATAGCCTCCAGAAAAGAACAAAGCCCTATGGGCACCTTGATTTTAGGCCAGTGAGACTCCAGACAGACCTTTAGAATTATAAGATAAAAACCTGTGTTGCTTTAGGTTACAAAGTTTTTGGGAATTTATTACAGCCACAACAGAAAACTACCACCTTTCATAAGATTAAAAAAGAGAGAGAGAGAATATTTTACCTTTATATGATTACTTTACATCTTTCAAATCAGCAATTTATATGTTTTTAAATGCTCACATCTTGGTTGCTTTTCAATTTTAAAATCTATGAACTTTGTGGACTTTGTTGGATATCTTCTCAGATTGTTTTCTGCCCAGGTATTAACATATTTAGAATTATATTATTTATCTGATTTAATCTATTCATACTGTTACATTTTCCTTATTTTGATCAGTATATCAAGCATACATTTTGCCAATTTAACCGTAGATACTTTCATTTCATTCCTGTTTTAATTTGCATTACTATAATTTTGTAGTGTAGTTGAGCATTTCTCACTGGTTATTGGTCATTTGTTGCTCTTCTACAAATGCCTGGTATCTGTCTTACCAGTGTTGCTGCTATGTTGGTCATTTTTTAACCATGCTGTCCAAGAATAGGTATGTTAATATATTACATGTTGAATTTTGAAAATGTATATTGTTAATATTTTGTCTCATTTAATGTTAATTTTTAGGTTTTTAATTGTATGTTTTTATCCTAGAGAAGTTTGAAAAGAGCCATAATAGAGAAGTGTGTAGACAGGAGGAGACGAGGTCATAGGGTTAGACAATCAGAGCATTGGATGTAGCTTTTGATAAAGAACACACCATTGTCAGACAACAATAGTCCAGCTAGCCATGCAATTTGAAGATTACTCTAAAGTTACCTGAGCTCCACTTTCAACTTTGGAGAAAGCTGATGTGGAGAAGAAATCAGGTAAAGCAACAGAACGCAAATATCAGGCAGACCCATCTCCCCTTAGGTTACCCCATCATTATCCTCTCTGCCACTGAGTCAGAGCTCAAACAGGAGCTGCATGCACAGTGTTTGACTTTGTCTCCAGCTACCTAACTGCAGTGGAAGAGCATAGCTGGAGAGCTTCCTGCAGAACATGACAGCACCTGTATGTTTCATTGTCATGTAAAAATCAAGGGGACTGACTGGATTAAGAGTTAAGACATTTTTTTTGTTGGTGTTGTTAATCCTTACACAAGGATATTTTCCCATTGATTTTTAGAGAGAGTGGAAAGGAGGGAGGAGGAGGCAGAGAGATAGGTAGAAACATTGATGTTAGAGAGACAAATTAATTTGTTGCCTCCAGCGAGTACCACAACTGGGGCCTGGATGAACCTGCAACCCAGGTATGTGCCCTTGACCAGGAGTCAAACCTGAGACCTTTCAGTGCACAGGCCAACGCTCTACCACTGAAGGACACTGGCCAAGGTGGGAAAGACAATTTTATTGATGCCTGGTATCTCTGGTAAAGCATTCTGTTTGGTGTGAGATTTGAGAGGTAAAATCTCTAGTTATGTATCAAAAATGCCACTGAAAGAAAGACTTTGAAACTCTGGAGATCTGTGGAATAAAGTTTTCTAAGTAGTACCCCTATGTTTTTATAGAAACAAACCCAACGTGGGAGGAAGTTGTACATGTACAATTGTAAAATGAAATAGACTGAAGAATATTCTCTTTTAGGGTCAAGAAAGCACAAAGAAGAAAATGCGAATTTTCACTCTGAAATATTACCAGTGACCTGTGGGAAGATAGAAGGCATGTTATATGTTAAGAAGTTCGAACAAGGTGAGTTTTATGGTCTACTTTAATTTATAATACCTATATGAAGGAATCATATATAGTAATGGAATTAACCATTGTTCAAGGAATTGAGGCCCCACTGTGGCCTGAAAGAAGGAAGGGATCCCTAAGATGATATTTTTATACTTTTAAGAAATGGTGCTTATTAAGTGCTCACTCCCACATGGAAGTGCCCATGAGAATACCCAAAGAACTAAAGAGAAGTGCAGCAGCATCAGTCTATGGGAGGAAAATATTTCATATTTTACTTTTTATCAGATATAAAAGAAAAGAGGCCTTCAGTGCCCACCTTCATATCCTATACTCTTCCTAGATAATCATCACAGGATAGGGGGTTTGATATAGTGAGAACACCACAGAATTTAGAATCAGAAAATCTAAGGCCTGGCCTCAACTATGCCAAGAGTGACTGAGTAAAGAATACTTTCACCTGGCCAGTGTTGCTCAGGGTTTGAGCATTGATTTATGAACCAGGAAGTCATGGTTGGATTCCAGATCAGAGCACATGCCTGGGTTGCAGGCTCGATCGCAAGTGTGGGGCATGCAGGAGACAGCCAATCAATGATTCTCTCTCATTATTGATGTTTCTATCTCTCCCTCTTCCTTTCTCTCTAAAACCAATAATATACTTTTTAAAAAGAACAGTTCCTGAGCCTGAAATGTGTAATCTAAAAATGAGATAATAATAAAAAAACCTGCCTCATGGTGTAACTTTGAGAGTTAATTTACATCATAAATACAAAATGTTTTGCGATTTTTAAATTATAAAGCTTTGCAATTATTGTCTATTATAATAAACTCTATATGAGATTCCTCTTAATATGGCAGTGAACACCAATTAACATAAATGTTTGCATCATAACTATTTTTTAAACAACTTTCCTGAGATATAACTCATATATCACACAATTCACCACTTGCAGTGTAGAATTCATTGTTGGGATTTTTGTTTGTTTCTTTCTTTTGTATTTATAAGATTATGCAACCATTATCAAAATCTAATTTTAGAACACTTTTTGTCCCCCACTAAAGGAATCACCACGTCTCGCAGTAGTCAATGCCCATTCCAACCTCACCCCACCACTCAACCCTAAGCAACCATTAAGAAAGGAGACAAGTTTTATCAGTATTATTCTGATCTATAAACTGGACTATTCTAAGCATTTCATATCAATTAACTCAGGTAACATGTGCCTTTCTGTGACTGGTTCTTTCACACAATATGATGTTTTCAAGGTTCATCCATGTAGTAACATCCTACATAATAAAAGGCTAATATGCAAATCGACCAAATGGCATAACGACCAGTCACTATGATGCACACTGACCACCAGGGGTCAGACGCTCAATGCAGGAACTGTCCCCTGGTGGTCAGTGCACTGCCACAGAGGGAGCAACGTTCAGCCAGGAGCCAGGCTCACATCTGGCGAGCACAGTGATGGTGGCAGGAGCCTCTCCCACCTCTGTGAGCACAGTGATGGTGGCAGGAGCCTCTCCCACCTCTGTGGCAGTGCTAAGGATGTCCAACTGTTGGTTTAGGCCCATGGGGAGCGCACTGACCACCCATGAGGAGCAGGCTTAAGCCATTAGTCGAACATCTTCCGAGGGCTCCCTGACTGTGAGAGGGCACAGGCCGGGCTGAGGGATTGCCCCCAACCCAAGTGCTAGAATTTCATGCACTGGGCCTCTATTTTATTATATTCCCTTCTTTTTACTGCCAAATAACATAATATTCCATGGTATACATAGGCCATATTTTGTTTATCTATTTGTTAGTTGGAGTTTTGCTACTCTTTTGCTATTATAAATAGTGCTGTTTTGAACATTCATGTGAATTTTTTGTGTGAACATATATTTTCAATTCTTTTGGGAATATACCAAGAAGTAGAATTGCTGGGTTATATGGTAATTCTATGTTGTACTTATAGAGGAAAAACTAAATTATTTTCCATAGTACTTCACCAGTTTATATTCCCACTAGCAAAGTCTCAGGGCTCCAATTTCTCTACATTCTCACCAACACTGGTTATTATCTGTCTTTCTTATTACAGCCATCCTAGTGCATATAATGTAGTACCTTATTGTGGTTTTGATTTCCACTTCTCTAATGACTAATGTTACAACTATCTTTTATGTATAACAATTTTCTACTGAATGATATTTCACAATTATTTTAATGTCCATTAATTCAGGGATGAAAAAATCTTTTCTCAATAATGACCTTAAACTTAGATGTAAAAATGGTGTAATACAGGGCACAGATGTTGCCACGGTGCCATTTTGAGCAGCAGAGACCTCACCTGAGATCTCAGTCCAACTTGAGTTTCTGCTTCCACACTGACACAGGGTCATCAGAGAGTCTGGCCTGTCCTCTATCTCCAGAATTCAATGACAAGTTGAAATCCTCTCATTGTTCAGAATCACTTCTTTTCCTTGTAGATAATTTTGGAATATTTTTATAATGTTGATTTTGATGCTAAAAGTCACGTATTTTTTGTTGCACAACTGTCAAAGAAATGTGTGCACAAAGCAGGAAATCTCATTGGAGGGGACTTACAGGCTTGGGTTTGGGGATTCTGAAGTCTGAGAGGGGAAGCCAGATTCTCCTGCTAGTGATCTTGAGCCTAAATTGGGTGACTCTAGATCCAGTGTGATGGGAGGCCAATGTCTGAGCTCTGAGGACAAAGAGATTTCAAAATTAACTTGTCTGGATCTTATAGGAACCAAAAGAAAATGTATAAGAAGCCAGGATGGAAATTGGTTCAACCCTAAGGAATTTGAAGAGAAAGCGGGCTACGGAACCTCAAAAAGTTGTTGGAAGACCCGTGTGCGCAGCAATGGGAATACCCTAAAATCGCTGATGAAGGTATTCCAGTGATGGAGAGGGGATATGCCTTTTTTTTGTTTTAGTCAAAGATAAGGTCACCATTTTCTCACCAAATATATGTTGAGTTATGGCTAGAGCTCTGAGGCTCCTGACTTTATCTTTTTCCTTGGGAAAGGTGCCTGACCCTCAGACCTCAGTATAAGGCATCAATTTGTTACATCAATTTTTCAAATGGGATCTGTTGGGGTAGATGCAGGAGCCTGAAGAAGAGATAGGTCATTCTGACTCAGGTGCTTGCTGACAACTTTAGGAACTGAAAGAAAGGAGACAGTCCACAAGTGGGCATAAGGAACTCCAAAGAAAGAATGGTGGGAAAACCAGAACCACGACTATGTGGCTCTATGGGTTGAGAAAGACGGATTATGTATGATATGGCATAATCCATCCATTGGGATTATTTGTGGAGTGATTTAATGCCAGGTTAAAGAGTTTAAACTAACTCATAGTATATACAATGCAGAATCAGGGAGTCTCCTGAGGTGTGAAATAACATCTTTAAAACAGTATTTCAGACAACCTTAGGCCTGGAAATGAATTCACTATAGTGAACCTACAATGCTCAGCTCTAGTGTCACCCCTCTCTGAAAATTCCCTGACTCACCTGCTTTGTTATCTTTTCCCTGGGTTCCCTGACCCCACTGTTAAGGCCCTTCCTTTCATGCAATCCCTTGTTTTCCTAGACCTCTCTAGGGTTTGTACATCTTTGTGTGCCCAACATTGTCCAGAATGTCTGACACCCTGTAGGTGTGTTGGTTGAATAGCCTCGGTGTGAGGACATAAGCTTGAATGGCACTAGTGTGAATGGAAAGGAGGTGAGAGGAGTCAAAGAGATTGTGAAGGAAAACCTCTTAAAACTTAGGAAAAAGGCACAAGAATAAGGAAAAAGTTTGTATGGGTGAACTGATGAATTCTAGAATAAGTACGGGTGAGGAGAGGGAGATGGCGTCTCATTTAGACACCTTGGTTTGAGCTTACAGTGAGTGGTACATCCAATAAGAAACATTTATGAAGAGGTTTAAATGCCAGACTCACAAAACATAAACACAGGCTAACCATATACTTGCATCTTTTTATCTTTCAGAAGGGACGACTACCTACACCTCCAGCAGAACGTAGCAGGTCAAAAAAGGTGATTATTAGTTTATGCAAGATCTTACTACATAACTGATTTTATTATGGTTTCTCAAATGTGTGATTACCATTGAGTTTCTTCTTCTAGTCCCCCCAGCCATTTTTTTTGCATGTGCCTTCACTTTAAACATTAGGTTGTATACAAGGTCATCTGTGAAGGTAAAACATTTGAGATTAGGATAATACAATTCATCACAATAACCTCATAGAACAGTGTTAGCTATAGATGCAGATGTTGTAAGGGCGTCAAATGTGAAGCAAACATAATTATGGAATTCATTAGAAAATGTCTTAATAAGGTCATAGGGTCATCTTGAACTCTATCCCAGATTTTGTTCATATTTTTATATCCTCTTCCATTATTTAATAAAATATACACACAGTTATAAAATTCTTTCTCAGTTGGAAATTGTTTGCCCTTCATGGTGGCGCTGTGAGGAAGAAATCTCTTGAGAGATTGATGTATCTTACATGACGGACTGACCTGGAAAATTGTTTACTTTGATGCACCCCTTTGCTTCCACTTCAGAGGCTGTGCAGGCCTCCTTTCTACTTATGAAAGTGATTTATCCCTCTATGGAAGATGGCTATGGAGGCAACATACAAAATACATAATGAGCAGTGCAGATTTAGCAGCAGATGATAGTTTTTTCCAGACTGAGTGTGGATAAGAACTTGAGAAGGAGGGGAAAGTGAGAAGTGCCATTCTCATACAATTCAAGTAGAAAGGCTGTCCAAGGCTTTCGCTGAATAAGTTGCATATAGCTGTCCACTGGGACTTCATATAACACTGGAAATGTAAGGTCCAGGCCTTTACATTATCTGATGTTCAGAGAACATTTCACCCACTGGGTTTACTGAAGATAAAATATTTTTAACATACTTTAAATATCAGGGTCTCTACTGTTCTCCATGTTTCTACAGTTACTCAATCTGGATTACCTAAAAGAGCTAGCAACTTCCAACTCACAGGTTCTATCCTTATCAATGGGTATAACTCTGAGCAGCTATAAGGTTCAGTTGCCCCTATATTTTGCGTCCCCTTGATCAAGAACCAAAATGATCCAAAGTGATAGATCTCAGGACCCATTACTACCTCAATGGATCCTCTTTGCCTCCCAGAACTTTTCTTGCTGATGGAGCCCCCAGTTTCTGGAAACTTCAGTGTTGCACTTGGCACCACACAATACATCCCTGTCTCCTGATGAGGGTCAATTGTACTTTCTTATGACAGCTGCTGTGTTGTCAAATAACCTGAAATACTCAGGCAAATAATCATTTATTATATCCTAATATTAGCTTAAGAGATAGCATATAATATCTTTTCCTAAATGAAACAATAATCATTTACTCATTCAACATACAATTATTGAGTGCATAAACAATGTCCAATGTCCATTGAAGAAGATTGAAATAGTATCCCTGACCTTAAGGATTGCTTCAACTTTGTTGTCTACCATGGAAGAATAACTACTAGGAAGCAGAAGATTCTATGCTACTCAGAGAGGCAGACAGTGACATGACCATTTCTCAAGTCATTTTCTAGTGGCTCAGTCTTGTCTATGACTTCTCTTCCCTGGGTAAAGATAAAAGCTGAAGCTGCCTGAAAGGAAAGAGGCCAAGTCATTCTAATGAATATACAAAAGTAATGTAAGTGTAATACCTGGTAGTCAGTTTTCTGTGAAGTCAATCAGGTACAATCTTGGGATTTGGATAAAAGGGAGATGAGGATAAAAGAAGACTTGTAGTACTAAGGGCCTTGGATTCATTTTAACTTTGGGCAGTGCCCCAGAAGAGCCATGGGAGGTAGTGGAGTTATCTCTGGAGTACTCTGAATGACAGATGGTTATGCAGAGGGTCATGTCATACTACTCATGGTCAAGATTCCATGGGGACGAGAAGGCAGCTCTTCCAGCATGAGTACCCTCACTCTTGTTAATAGTCTTTTCTAGGATAGACATTACAAGCCAATTTAACATTGCCTTACAATATCTTATGCATTGATAGCCACACTTGTTCAGTCTAAATCTCAACTCAAGTTGCATACTGGAATCACCTGAAGACCTTTGAAAAATAACATTGTCTGAATCCCACTCTAGACAAAATTTTGATTAAATCATTCTGAGTTATGACTTGGACAATAGAATTTTTAAAATGTCTCCAGATGATTTTGATACACAAGTTACTCAGTCTATGACTTAAGGAGAATACCAATGCCTGTGCCTCAAACCAGCCTAATTAATTTAGAGTCTCTGATGTTGGGACCAGGAATTTAGTATTTTACATACTATCCTCAGATAATTCAAATAGGCAGCCAAGCTAAGAAACAAAAAGCCGAAGAGTAAATGGTTCTAAACTTGATTAAAGATTAGGGATGCGAGATTCTTATGCATTAGTTGTATATGTTATTTCCTTGTTTTTGGAAGAGGGTCACTACTTTCTGGAGGATGATGATGATCTGTGCATCCCTCCAGTGCGGAGAAGGAAAATGGCACTAGGTCTTGATGCTAGAGCAGTCTCAGTCCCCATTGAGGCTGTGACTCAGTATTATCCCAGAACACAGAGTGGGAGCTCTTGGCAAGACATTCTCTGTTTTGATCTTTCTCATATATGGCCATTTTTAAAAGCAAAATAAATGACCAGACTCTAACTTTGCCAAACACAAGAATTTTTGCCCCAAAGTCCAGATCAATATTCAAAATAACTGTTAATTAATAACTTCTCATTTTTACTACTTTCTCCGCAAAGCGAGATAAAATAACTATGCTTCAAATTACTCTGTCATTTGCTTCAGGAAAGACATTTCTGATCTTTGTGTGTTGCTAACTGAGATATAATAGAGACTTTGAGAAACAGACCACTTTTCTCTGTATTAAGGTGGATCTATTCATTAGGGTCTCAGCATCCCTGTATGCAGTGGAACCTATAGGAACAATGGAACTAGCAAAAGATGCTTAAAAATTACTGTGAAGAGTGGGCATAGAGAAGATTTGGGATATGAGTGAGAGTATAGACCCAGGATGGATTCTCAGATTTGTGGTCAAAGGTTAATGTTTTATGAAATGGAAGCACTAAGAATGGACATGTAGTGGGTGTGAGGACAGATGCATATATGAGGTTTAGATTGGATGAGTTTGGGGTGTTCTTTAAATCCCCAGGAGGAAACACTGAGTGAGCATAAAGATGTGCACAAATGCAGAAGACAGGCTGGACATCTGGGAGCTGGAGACATAGCGATGTAACTGCAGCTTTGAGCGTGATTTGGTGGAAACCTGAGGGATTCTGTCTAAATGTTGGAGGAAGAGAAGGATGAGAAATGAAAGAGATACAGCATCGAGGCTGATAGAGTGATGGCACAGGCCACACATGTTTGGAGAAAGGAGAAATAGTTAGAGCAGAGAAAGGCAGAAGCTGCCATCCCTCTCTCTTCCTGCTCCTCAATGTCCCTCTTTCCCTCCACCCAGCACTCATCAGTGGGTGGGCCACACCCCAAGCCAATCTCATTTGTGTTAACTCAGATGGTCACAAGATAGGTCCATGGCATAGACAGGATCTTTCTATCTGGGACAGAACTACCCCCAAGATGTTTTCAAGATGTCTCGAGTCTCTCAGGAGGCAGGAATGGACAAATAAAGTTTATTTTTTAATGTTTATTTTATTTTTTCAAATAATTTCTGATAGTTTCTGATTCATATATGTTCTTCCAGGTTCACAAAATGTTGTGCATTCTAGATTCTCATAGCATTGGCTTCTGGGGTCTCACTGGCAATACATTGTTTTACCTTCTAGCTGAGAAGTTCAGAAGTATGTAAGATCTGCTGCCGTGAAGGAAATCTCTTCTGCTGTATTACTTGTTTGAGCTTCTTTCATGGGGACTGTCACCTCCCACCTGTGGAAACTGAGAGGTTTGTGAGATGCAGCCCCGGCTCCCTTTAGGGACTTTTCCTACTGTCACCCACACTCCCCCTGCAGAGTTCCTCCTTGTGTCCAGATGGGGAAGAAGCAGGGTTGAAGGTGTGGTGTCCAATGGTATGATCCTGGGATCTGTTTAAAGACCTGTGAGCTGGAGGGTAATGTTTTCCTTTTTCCTATGGAAGGCTGAGGCCGTTAGCTGGGTCTTTGCCTACATACCACTACTGTCCTTTCCAGAACTTTCTCAGCGCAGATTCCTGTTCACAGGAGTGGAAATGACAGTGGTTTATGTCCTGTACTTATTCAGAAATGGCAGGAAACATGGACTTTTTGCCATGTTTTCAACTGGTTTATTGAGGCCCAAGAGCCCAAGGGTTAAGGCCTAATCTCTGGCACTCAGGCCTGGTGGGCAGGGCTCCTTGTGCTCCCAGCAGCTCAGACAGGGAAAGGAGAACCCACCACTCACTCTGACACCAACCTCTACCCCTTCAACTCCTGCCGCTACCCTTGATGGGAGGAGGGTCATTGGCTCAGACCCCACATGTAGGTCTTGGGGATTCTAGGGAGTATCCCCTTCATTCTCAGGTTATGCCCATTAGCCACTCGTGAAAAGAAAATAGTGGCAGCCATAGGGACAGTGGCTGTTTCTGGGGATTTGCCTTGCTCACCTATGCCGAACCTCTCAGGAGCCCGTGGAGGTGCACCTTGTGCAGGGTGAAGGAGTGTTCAGGAAGTCAGCAGTCTGCCAGGGAATCTGAAGTCCTGGCGAGGCTGATGGGGCCTGAGTCGCAGCTGGTGAGTCAAATTCAAAGCCAAAGATCGCTCCTTTCTGCTTGCATGTGAGAAGTCAACAGTCATACGGTGGGAGGAGGGCACCAAAGGGAGTCTGCTCTTCTGACCAGATCTCAACCATGCTGAACACTCACCAGAACCTGTTTGCAGAAAAGAAAAAAAATCAGCCATTACATGTCTATTTCCTAGAGCCATGCATGTTTGAGGAAACTTCTGGAAAACTAGTGTGGCCATGGCTCTGCTTTGCATGCATATGGGCTCATGCTCTCTAAGCTGATTTTCATTCAAATCCTTCTTCTCTTGTAGAAATGTGAGTTCCTCCTCTTGATGCTCTATTGCCATTCAGAGGGCAATGGTTTTCCGAATATTCAACGTGATACCTATGTGAGTAACAATAACAAAACATTATTACAGGCCTCCATAATGTTGTCTGACCTTGACATGGGCTCTTGTGGGATTGGTGATCTGCAAGGCATGGGAGTGAGAACACGAGATGCTGTTTTTCTCACTATGTATTTCAGCTGGATTTTATAGGAATCCACAGAAGGCAGACATTGTACTGTATCAGAAATCCTCTCAATATTATTTTTTCATCAGAGAATCGAGAATTTTCAATGCATGGCAGATTTTTTGGTGCTGGATGAAATCAAGAAGAAGCTAATTGAGCGGCGTTACCTCAATGTGATGGAGTTTATGCAGGATGTGCGCCGCATCTTTTTGGTACACAGGGCGTCTAAAAAAGTAAGTGGGTTTCCCTGTTTCTATTTCATTTTCTTTCCATTGAGTCACTTTGCTCTCATTTTTTAGAGTAGGGAAATTTTTATAGTTTATCCTGTCCTATCATAAGTCTATAGAAGCAAGGGATCCAAAAGTGAGTGAAATTTATAATTCAAGATAGAGCATCACAGGCCTCCGAGAGCTCATTCCTCTCCTCAAAGGCAAGAGGTGCCCATTGAGAACACTGTGTCCTCCCTGCTCCAAACAAACCAATAAAAGAATTGCATCCTAAAGTTATATTGTGTTTCTTATCTTTCTCCAAATATTCTCAAACTTCTCAGAAATTTCAAACTCCAGGTTCCTTTGCATGTAAATTAATATATAGTTAACAGACAGGAATATAAGTGACAACGTGAAAGGAAGATAACTAATTATACTGAGACATCTGTGATATTTGATTGTTACACAGACCTTAGATTACTTTTCCAATTATCATTAAAGTAGACAACCCAAACCAAATGAGTAAGAGTCCCCAAGTATGGTAATGATTTTTCATTTTTGCCTAGATAACAGTAAATAATCATGCACTTAGGACAAAGAAATTACTCTTAGCTACATGAGTTTTTAATCTTAACCTGGTTAATGTAATTTAGGGTTTTAGGCAAAAGTTCTGATCATACTCAAATTGCAAGGTATCTAATGACACTGATAATAAATGTCATTATTTTTTTCTTTTTTCTTTTCAGTGCAATAACTTTTGCTGGGGAATTAGACAGGAGGAGAAATTTGAGCTGAATTTCAAGCAAGTGTTTGCTGTTCAGGAAACAGAACAAGAACATACAACAAAATTAAATTAGAAAACAATGTTCAGAAAACAAAACAAGAACATACAACAAAATTAAATTAGAAAACAAAATTAGAAGTTCAATAAAGAAGAAGAAACTATGTCACATACAACGGAGCCCCCACAAGACTATCAGAAAATTACTCGACAGACATTTTGCAGATCAAGAGAGAGTGGATGATATATTGAAAATATTGAAAAAAAATAATTGTTAAGGAAGATTAGTACTCAGCAAAGCTGTCCTATAGAATTAAAGGAGAAATAGACCCATCAAAGGGAACTTGAGAAAGTTCATTACCACTAGAACTGCTTTATAAGAAGTGCTAAAGGATGTTTTTCAAGCTAAAATAAAAGGAAAGTAATTAACATTGCAAAAACATGACCTGAACTCTCAACTATACACAGTTGGGTGCCCTTTCTTCCTTTGTTACAGGCACTGGGGATTTAGAGCAGGTAGGAGGCAGAGGGAAGGTTGTGGCCCAAATCCCTTGGGAAGAGATGGCTGCCTAGACATGTCCTTGAACCAAAATACCAGATTCAAAAACCATAACTCAACCTCCTTCTTTAACAAAGAAAAATATACACTTCAGCTTTTTGGCAACAACTTTTATATCTCATATGTATAAATGGTTTTTAAGTATTAACTCCAACTGAAATTCTAAAATAAACCATGTCTTTTCTAGGCATATTACTTGTTCTGTTATTTTTGTTTATGAAACAAGGCCACTCTAAGTAGGTGTGTGTGTGCTCTTGTGACCACAGAAGTACATAATGTACCTAGCATGGCTTATGTATCTCCTAACGGACGTGCCTCTGATGCCTCTTATGTATCTCTCTTCCTTGGTGGGCAGGGACTCAGGGGCACAGCAACCACTGCCATTTAAGAAGCCAGAAGCAGGCTGGGCTTGGGAATGGGCAGGGTTGGTCTGCATCTAGTGGGGATGGAGAGTTCTGTTTCTGATCTGCGGAGTGAGCTCCTACCCAAACCATTGCTTCCAGAGAACAAAAACTGGGTGAACCTGGAAGTAGAGCGAACCTCACAAGCAGCTAGCCTCAAATTCTATGTATAAACTCTTCGCAAGTATCCTGACATGAATTCTAAAACAATTGCCAGGCAGAAGGTGAGACAGATGGGGATCAAAATACCATCATTTTTCCTGATAAAAGCAGGATCAGGGGACACGGTTTAGATGGTATCAAAAAAGAATTCCTAAGTCTGAACCCCAGAAAGGGGCTTAGCTTCAAGGTTTCAGGCTGCTCCAGTCAACCACACGTATTCCCCCATCCCCAGGCCACTGTCCCTTGCACTGGGGCTCAGAGGAGCACAGAGCCCTGGCCTCTCCAGCAGGATGAGCCCAAGGAGACCCACCAAGGAGCAGACTCACCTTCACAGAACTACCAGCCTCAGCATCTCCCCAGGAAGAAGGGGGGGCGGGGGTGGGGGGGAGAGGGGGGGCGGGGGAGGGGGTGGCAAAGATGTGAAAGCCGAGTGCAGGCTGAGTATTTACATATGCACTTTCAGTTTCTGCTCTGCTGACTGATGGGCCCCCTCTCAGAAGGGGACATTGGTGTGGGGCCTGAGTGCTCCCACTTGGGTCCCAGGTGTCTCTCCTCTCCATTTCTGCATCCGCAGAGGTGCCAGGTCTTCATCCTCTGGGCCAGTGGCTGCTGATGCTGCTGCCAACACTCAGCATGGTGGTGTCCTAGGCAGCCTATTGCTCAGGGATGAGGAGAGACAGGGGACACTAGAAAAGGCTGGTGTCAAATTCTGTCTGGTCCCCAAGCACCATGGAGGATGGGAGCAGAGGATAGCTGTGCTCAGCAGAGGCTCTGCTTACTAGTTCTTCTACCTCCCAAGTGAGACAGGAGGCAGGGTAGGGAGAGAGAGATCCCCCCTGTGTGCAGAACTTGGGACACACTGAGACCCTGTGCTCTTGTTTAAAAAAAATGTTCTCATCAGTGTATGCAATCTGTCCAGATTTGATGTTTGCTTCTTTGAGATAAAAGAAAAGACATACATGGAGAGAGGGTAGAACCTTCCTCTCTGTGTTAAATGAAATAGGGTGAGAACCCTTATTTACAGCCAGAGGAAGTGGGGCTCAGGGGAACAAATGTGGAAACCATCGCTCTCAAGAATGTTGCTTCTCCAGTCCTGTTTCTGAACAGTGAGACCTAAAGAGTTAGGTCTCTGCACCCTCTTAGAAAGTTGCAGCAGGTGAGGACAGGGATTCACAGAGATTTTCATGTTTTTGCACAAGCAAGGAGACTCCTGGGGGTTGGTCCTGCTCCTCCCCTGGGGTCCTCCTCCCCTGGCCTCCAGGACCTCCTGTTCCTCCTTGTTCTCTATTACTACTGCTACATGTCCTGATGGCAAAGGAACTCGTGCCCCCCCACCTCCCCCGCACCCCCTTCCTTTCTGGCTGCAGGAGGAGGGAGACAGTGTGACTTTCACTTCTCATTTCCCGGTTTGGGTGGAACCCTCCCTGGGTGAGTTCACTCACTTCCTGCTCAGGGATCAGCAGCCACAGCAGACCCAGGCTGGGGAGACTGGAAGGATCAGAGGTCCAGGCAGTGCCCAGGGCAGGACGATGGCCAGTGGCAGCAGCGACCTCAGCACCAGGTCAGTCTCTGTCTCCCTTCCTTTAACTTTCTGTCTGGCTGTGCTGCTGCTTTAGTGTGTGTTATTAGACACTCGTCTAAACCTTGACGTCCGTCCTGCTTTACAGGAACACTGGTGTGCAATGTAATGGAATACAGGAATACCAGTGAGGGAATTGGATCTTTAAACTGCAGAGGGACAGCTGCTGGTGTGAGTGCAGCTGCCACAACCCACAGGACTCTTGTCTTATAGCTACTGCTCAGCTCGAAGCCCATCTGGACTCCGCTGTTGTTTCTGATACTTTGAGACAGTGACTTGTTATTTTCTCATGATGTCTGACCCCTCTCATTTCCCTCAGGCCCCCTCTGCTTTCACCTAGGTTGTTTCAAAGAGAGTACGTTAGAAAGTATAAAATTTGGGGTGCCTTGGTCTCATACCTGACCTGGGGAGGGGCCAGCCTGGGCTTATTCCCAAATCTGTCTAGGGGTGTGGGTTCTTCCCCCAGGGATCTTGATTGACTCGAGTAAAAGGAAGAGGGAGGACAAAGATGTGAAAGCCGAGTGCGGGGCTGAGTATTTACATCTGTACTTTCAGTTTCTGCTCTGTAATGCATTATACCTCTGACAAGGAAAAGGCTATTGATCCTGTCTTTCTCTAGTAATGGGTCAGTAAATAACATTACTTAATATGTTTAATTGGATGTCTTTTTAATACAAAAGAAATACATTACACAGTCTTGATCATAAAGTTTTGAATGACGTGGATGTATGTAGAGGGAAAAATCCTATTTCACCAACCCACCCCACTGCAGCTTCCAATCCTGGTCCTGTTGAGTGTTATGAAGAGAGAGGCATAGTATTTTATGTCTCTCTCTACATTTACACATATAACTTATTTTCCTATGGAAAACATTTCTGTCTTATATTTTTATGATAAGATTACATTGTATATACCATTCCGCATTTTACATTTAAAAATTAATATTAGAATTATTAGACGTCTTTTCATGTTAATAAACATATGGATCCACCTCACTCTTAACAGTTGCACATTACTCCATGGAACTGATATTTAAACCATTTATGTTCTTTTCAGTTGTTCACTGTTACCAAAAAACTGCGATAAATAACAATTGTATATTTATGTTTTTGCATATATACAAGTATTTGTCTTGTGTCAAAAACCAAAAGGTGAAATTGTTGAGGCAAAGGGTACTAATATTTAATTGTTTATGGATCCTACCAAATTTCCTTCCTAGTGGCTGAACCACTATATTCTCCTACCACTAGCTGATGAACCATCTCTCCACCCAGACTTCACAGAGGTGCTAGATCAGTGGTTCTCAACCTTCCTAATGCCGCAAGACTTTAATACAGTTCCTCAGGTTGTGGTGACCCCAACCATAAAATTACTTTCGTTGCTATTTTATAACTGTAATTTTGCTACTGTTATGAATCATAATGTAAATATCTGATATGCAGGATATATTTTCATTGTTACAAATTGAACATAATTAAAGCATAGTGATTAATCACAAAAACAATATGTAATTATATATGTGTTTTCTGATCGTCTTAGCGACCCCTGTGAAAGGGTCATTCAACCCCCAAAGGGGTCATGACCCACAGGTTGAGAACCGCTGTGCTAGATAAAGGGATGCATCCTATTCATTTGCATTCTCAGAATACATGGGCAGTTGAACATGGTTTTGTGTCTCTTGACCATTTAAATTGCCTGGTCTCTCATTGCTGGTTTATTTTTGACCAATGTAATCAGTTGAGGTGATTATCTTTTCTGTAACGATACGGGAGAGTTTGCTATGTAGTTTGAACTTTATAAATAAACTTCTTTATAATTATACTTTCTTTTAACTGTTTTATGGTGACTTCTATCTTATTAAAGCTTTTAAATTTAGAGTAAAAAATTATTATAGTACTGATTTTATAAGATAGATGCACCCTTGTTATTACAAATAAATAAAAGTGACGAAGACAGTTACTGGTGAATTCCACACACACTGTCTTTTACCACAGTTCTCCTGTTCTTAAGGTGGCAGATTCAATTCTACCTTCACTTCAGGGAAACTTTCTTCTCTACTATCTTCAAAAATGTATATATGTATATTTTAAATTTGGGGGCAAAACTTTTCTTCCATTGGTGCAACTTTAACCTTCACAACTTTATCTGTCTCTAATAAATCATCGCTTTAGGATTTCACTTTGTTTTCATAATGGTTATCTCAAACCTTTCTTCTATGACAATTACTTAATTTTTAATAGTTATTGTGGTTTCTTGTTATTACTACATTTTTTAAAATGTTGATTGTGTTAGTTTCTTTATTCCCCAGCCAGAGCCCACTGCCTGTATCAAGTCCAGATAGTCAGCCTCTAGCTGTGTCCAGAATTGATACAGCTTCCTCAGGGCAAAATGACTTCCCAGCTTTCAATAACACTCTGTGTTCTCTATACCTCATCATAATTGTTGCCATTTCTGAATGGTGAGCCTTCAGGTAATTCTACCCTGCTTTTCAGGGACACTTGACATGGTTTCTTTAGCTTCTTGGCCTGAAAAACTTGACTGCATATCCTGAGGGGGGAACTGACTGTGTTGGGGTGCTTCACTCCAGCCTTGCATGACCATCACAATCTTATCTGTCTTCCTTGCTCTCAGCAGAAGTCCTTGTCCTTGACCAAGCCCAGATTCTCATTCTCTGCTTTGTAACTAGTTTTTTTCATTTTCTTTTAAAAATTTTTTTTATTGATTTCAGAGAGAAAGGGAGAGGGAGCAAGAGATAGAAACATCAATGATGAGAAAGAATCATTGATTGATTAAGCCTCAACCTGGGCATATGCCCTAACCTGACCATAAATCAAACCGTGACCTCCTGATTCATAGGTTGATGCTTAATCACTGAGTCACCACAGCCGGGCTTAATTTTAATGGTGTCTTTTAAAGCACAAAAGTTTAAATATTTTTTTATTCTTTAAATATTTTTTTATTCTAGCTATCTTTTTGTCTAACCAAAGTCACAAAGATTTTATTATGTATATATACATATTTATCATATAGATATATAATATATATATTTTTGTCAGTAATATTTGTCATTAATTATATATATATATATATATAAATTCTCACCCAAGGATATTTTTCCATTGATTTTTAGAGAGAGTGGGAGAGGGAAAGATGGAGAGATATATTGATGTGAGAGAAGAACATTGATTGGTTGCCTCCTGCACCTGCCCGACCAGGGCTCAGACTGGGCGGAGCCTGCAACTGAGATATATGCCCTTGAGCCAAACCAGCTAGGGCAATGACACTTTTTAAAAATATAGGAGAGCTCTAGCTGGTTTGGATCAGTGGATAGAGCATCAGCCTGTAGCCTGAAGGGTCCCAGGTTTGATTCTGGTCAAAGATATGTACCTTAGTTGCAGGCTTGATCCCGTTCCTGGTCAGGGCACATGGAGGAGGCAACCAATCTATATGTCTCTCTCACATTGATGTTTCTCTCTGTCTCCCGCTCCATTCCACTCTCTAAATATCAATGAAAAAATGTCCTTGGGTGAGGATTTAAAAAATAAAAATAAAGCTTTATTATTTTCACTTTTGTATAGGACCAGCTACAGCAATTTATGTTCACACCAGCAATGAATGCCTACTTCTCTGAATCTTCCCCCTTGCTGCATTGTCCCTTATGAAATCATTTTTGCCAGTCTAGTGGATGATAAGTGGTTCCTCATTGATGTTTTAGTTTGCATGTATTCATGTATTTGTTGGACATTTTAATTTTCTTTTCTCTAAGTGACTGTTCAGGTCCATTTTCGTTGGGGTTATATGTCATATTTCGTAAACAGACTGAAATCTTTATATATTAGATATATTAAGCCTTAGACATGTGTGCTGAAAATATTTTCCTACATTCTTTTAATCTCACTGATTTTTAATATTTAAACCTATTAAGTCTTCCTCTACTCTTATAATACTTTTATTTGCTTGACTTAGATATTTGTTCTGTCATATAAATTAATGAATTATGATAGCCAGTTTCAGTGGTATTACACATGTCAGAAGGATAGCCCTAACTGGTTTGGCTCAGCAGATAGAGCTTCGGACTGAGGACTGAAGGGTCCCAGGTTTGATTCTGGTCAAGGGCATGTACCTTGGTTGCAGGCACATCCCCAGTAGGGAGTGTGCAGGAGGCAGCTGATCGATATTTCTCTCTCATTGATGTTTCTAACTCTCTATCCTCTCCCTTCCTCTCTGTAAAAAATCAATAAAATATATGTTTTAAAAAAAAGTCAGAAGGATTGACATTTTTAAATTGCTATGTTTTCCTAATTGGAGGTACCTTCTACATTTCCATTTATTTATATCTTGTTTAATTTCCTTCAATAAGACATTATAGTTTCTTTCATATAGGTTCATAACTTTTAGATGTTTATAAGTATACTAGTGGCCCGGTGCATGAAATTCATGCACATTAAAAGGGAATTAATTAGAGGAAATATTTTTTTTTAGAGGAAATATTTTAATATTGCTATTTGCCCTTTCTCTATAATAGAAGTATCAGAGATGAAAGAAAATTAGTAAAATGTACATGAAAATCTCCCTCCTGTCAGAGTCTGGGGCATGCCACGGGACCCAGAGTCAAGTGCCTGCCCAAATGCGCGCACCTCGAAATCACACCAGACCCAGACCCAGCCGACCTCACCCTTGTCAAGCCCTGCTGGGCGGGGGGTGTAGCTTTAGGTCCCCTGTCAAACTCTACCAGGCGGGGGGTGTGGCCTCAGGTCCTTGCTGATCTGTCATTAAGGCATCATGGTGTGACAACCATTTGCACATTAGCCTCTTATTATGATGATATATGTGTATTTACTATTGTGTTTGAAGTATTATTTCTTTTCAATATATGTTGTGCATATAATATCTGTTAGTTTTATGTACCTGTTTTGATTTTTATTCAGGCTCCTCAGCAAATTCCTTTTCTAGTACTTAGGGAATTTAGTTAGGTCTCAATAATTTCTCCATATATAATCATCCTTACTAATAAAAGCCTAAGTAGCTACGCACACAGTGGGCACACGCAGGTGGGGGGACTGGGCTTGACGATGTGTGCACAGCATGAAGCCTGCCTGGGAGGCAGGTCCCCAGGCTCCGTGAGGCGAGGCCTGCCTTGAGGTCCTGCCTTCTCTTGGCTCTGTGTGGTGAGGCTCAGTGTGGCGTGGAGGTGGGATCCCAATTCCAGCCTACCTCTTTAGGGCAATCCATCAAGGAGCCCCGGATGGGTGGGTGGGGCCTACTTCTTTGGGGCGATCAATCACGGGGCTCCTGCACTGTGACAGGGCACAGGCCAGGCTGGGGGACCCCACCTGCAGTGCACGAATTTCGTGCACCAGGCCTCTAGTCTATATATATAAAAAGGCAGTGACCGTGATGACCAAAATGACCTGTTTGACCTGTCACCATGCTGTGCTAGTATAGATGCATAGACACAGGTAAAGTCTATGAGTGCACTAAGAATTAACAAGAGAAATGCTTGCCTTTACGGAGCTCGCACTGTAAGGTTAGGTCACGTATGAGAATTCAAATTTGCCACCAGCACAGACCTGAGGTGCCATTTCTCAGAACAGCCAGAGATACACCCAGTAGCAGACTGGGGCGTGACTGAAGGGCTGGTGAGGAGATGAAG